TTGTGCAACATTCTTGTTATAATAATTAATTTTCCTCAATTTTTATCACACGACATTTATGATATATTCGAAATTCTTAAAAAATTTTGAAATTATGATACGTGAAGTTTTGAAATTATGATACATGAAATACAGTGGCAATAATATGTTACATTCTTAATGTATTTAAGAAAAAATAAAACAAATTTAATTCCTCATTATACAAAGATAAGAGATACTCTTTCGAGATTCTTAATATAATACAAAATCTTTCCTATATATTCCCTCAACTGAAAATAACTAATTATACATTTAACATTGTTTTATCGTTTGTGACGGCAAAGTTCGGTATAATAATATATGATTTTTATATCAGACAGAGAAAGTTTAAAATCCAGAAATTGTATTAAACTTTAAGTATACGCTGTGTCAATGTCCTGCATTACTTGGTAATCTCTATTACACTCTCGATGCTTTTAAAGCATCGCATTTAATTAGCATGTTAATTATCACAGTGTTATCTTTATGATACAGCATCTCTCCTTTCACCATTTTTATGAATCCATTCGGTCCATTCGGTAGAAATATATATCATGATCGGTTGATTTCGCCTTCTGAGTGTTAGCCCGTAGGCATGAAACCCCAGAGGCATCATCGTACGTCAAACATAACAAATCGAGGCCGTTCCTCTTCCTAGCCAATGTCCTTGCCTGCTCGATACCGTCAGGCGAAGGTTTCACCGCTTTCCGGGAACGTTACCGACGAAGGTGTGAATCGGCACGTAAACTAGGTGTTAGATATGCAGGTGGAACACAGAAAGGAAGAAAAAAAGAAGACTCGCGAAGGAACAAGGAAGGTTTACCGAGAACGGCATTGCGCGAGGCTAGCTCGGAGAAAGAAAGGCGGCTGAAATCTTTGCCGACGCGATAGCTCGCGCCCACCTCTTACCGCGAACCGTTACGGAAAGAGCTTGGTAATTATCGTCCTGCTCGAGAGCTAACAATGCTGCCGACTGTCGAAGTCCGTGCGGTCTACGAAGCGCGAAGATTAGCTGTCGCCCGCTAAAAGGCGTTCGCCTGGAAACGGGCAGCTCTGATTGACGCGACGTGCGAAAGCGCGGATGGTTCGAGCACGCATCGCGTTTCATCGGAAGAAACAGAAAGAGATATTCTTGCTAGGAACGTTACCGGATAACGTGAAACATTCTGTGGCTTTATTCTCCGCGATGTTATACTCATAGATTCTTGCGATTGGCATTCGCACATTACTTCGGGAATGCTGTTAAGATAACTATACATGATGTTCCGCCAGAGTCGTATTAACTTTCAATGGCGAATTCTTCAGATAACTTAACATACATTTACTTTTTCAAATAAAAATATTCGAATAAATAATGATTTAAAGTTAAAATCAAAGTTCTTTCCATGGATCAGGTTTTCAAGAGTATAAATAAATCAAACGATATTGTTAATTTATTTTAATTAGATTCTATTTCTGCAAAACTTAAGTTTAGAGCATAGTTATAAAGATATGTTACAAAAATTACAAAAATGACGATTTTTTTTTAATTCTCTGCATTGACATTATTAAATTATAAAGCAGAGAAAATTGTATGTACTTTATGCTAAATACAAAGTAATACGTAATTGAATCAACAAGTAACTTTAATTATTATCATCATAATTGTTAAGGATAAAATTAAGATTACTTATTGACCCATAATTATGTAATATTTATTATTAATACTTTGGCACTGTTTGCCAACAGGATCTGTCATGGATATTAAGAATGTCACGTTTCATTATTTTTCATCCAGCTTCTTCATAATAAACGACGAATAAAACGTGGTAAGATGAGCAACACGTCGAGTTGGCGTGATCTCTCATCACTCTTGTACACAATTTGCAATTTTAATGTCTGGTCAGGGAGATCCCTATGTCGCGCGCACGGCGGAGGTAACTTCAGTATGTAAGGATACGTAACTCGATAGGATAATAACGCGCGACTGATGCAGTCATGCAAATCAGCATTCAAAAGACACCGAATCCCACGCTACAAATCTTGTGCCGATTGAACAGCACGCGCAAATTTTGTGCTGCCTCGATTATGAACAAAATAATAATACAATAATGCTAAACATAGATATCATGCTCGTATGATGTATTACGTAGATAATAAGGAAAGTAAATACATAAATACACAAGTTGAACATACCTTGTGTTCCAAATTATTTTAAATTTTGAAAATCCATCTTTTGTCAAGGAATAGTAATTAATTATTAACAACAATAATTAAAAAATTATATTAATTATACACACACGTCTTTAATAATAATTATAATGACGATTAAAATATTCAAGAAACTGTTAAAAATATTATAAATTATATCAATTAAATGATCGGTATATTTGTACAAAAAGAGAGTTTATGTGACATTTTCAAGGTTCTCTCTTATTATTTAACACATATTTAATATTTCAAAAGTATAGCAATGTACACTGGATGGATTAAATTTCAAATTCTACGAAATCTACGAATCATCTAACACTGCTCACATGAGTCTCACATATCGCTCGTGCCACCGTAATCGCAGGAGATTGAACACGCTTTGCATGCGTAAATTTATTTCCCTATCGCGTACATTAGTTACTATTATCAGACTAAACAAGTTGTAAACAAAAGCACTTCATTAGGACAATGCTGGAAACGTTCCATGAAATGAAAAACGTCCGATCATGTAGTCCCAACTTAATTTTGACTTGAGCGCAGATGATGCATTATTATCAGTTAGGTATCACTTTAATAACTATAACAACTATAATTACATTAAAATATGTGTGGTCTCATTAAATCGTCGGTAGGATATTAATAATTTGAAAGACGGGAGTATATTCATCAGATTGTATCGTTTCTCAGTCAATTCGTCGTATAGCCATTCGTGTTTACGAGAAGGCTTATATAATATTTGAACACGTGACTTGCGACGGGAACTCAACAAAAGTCACCGTAGACAGCCATGGTTAAGCGATCACGGTATATTTGTTTCTTTTTTTCATCTGACCCAGCACATAGGTATGCATATGTATACATATATTCGATAGCTTGCCGTTGCGGCCATTTTCTTGCGTATGACGATTTCTCTGTTGGGGATCGGACTGTACGTCGTTTCAATACTATTATGCCGTTATCCATAAAGCAATCGATATTATTCCTATACGAATGACGGTAGTTGCGTTATGTTGACATTCCATTTCTAAAGTTACGACTGACATTGCTCGTTGCATCCATATTTTTTCAAATTCCAACTTTATGCCCGATACCATTCCGCCGAAGTTTTTGTCATCATAACTCTGGTGCTTGTCGAACGCGTTTCTAATATTTTCCAGTAATTTTATTAGCTTTATGTATTGTAGCAAATATTAAATTTCTTTGTAAGTTTTTATCCGTAATTATTATTAATTATTAAATAATAATAAATAACCGCAAATAACTATATGCGGTTGAAGAAATGCGACAAATCTTGAGATATACAACACATACGAGCTGAATAAAGTTTCCTGAAATAATTAAATATTGTTGAAATGTAATTGGAATAAAATATTGGCAACTTTAAAATATATTTATATAATTGGAATAAGCAATGTGCGATTTTAATGAAGATTAAATCTATAGAAGTGTAAATCTATGATTGCATTTGAGTAGCATATTTGAGTATCAAAAATTTCAGTTTGTTTATAAACGTAGGAAAGCATAGAGTACCAATCGCAAACGGGAGTAAACTCGTGATATCAGAAAGGAACAACGATTCGCAATATTTGACTTGAACATATGGCTGGAAATATTGATAACGTCCAACGTAGAACGATAAAACGTTCAACAAGAACTGGGATTGGTGCAGCATTCGATACAAATGCAATAACCGTTGCAGATAATCGAATTGCACGCAGTTGTGTTATCGCAACGTATACTACAACATTATTCCGGTAAAGTGCAAATCGTTACACGATGACACGTGATATGTCTAGAATTATCATCATAATTACAAAAAATTTATAGAATAGATATAAATACACGATATCAAATTAATAATTCTTGTAGCGAGAGATAAGCTTTATTATCATTCCATTTTAATTTATGAAATACAATTAATAGCGCACTAACAAATACGCAAAGTTGTGAAGTTTTATAATGAAATGTCCTGGTTATATTAATCCTAGTTTTATTTTTTTCAGTATTGTCTTTTTTAAAATAA